ACGATTGCATTTTTTATGTAATAAACTATGTTTTCATTTCAGAATATTTTTTTAAATTTAAATAATGTTGTATTTATTACACTCTAACAAAAAACATTAACGTAAGTATTAACAATGATTTATTTTAATAATGTAAGCATTGAAATACAGTACTATTATAGAATATAAAAATAAAATTAATACGTTTAAATGTTGAGTTAATTTATTTTCGATGGTATTCTCAGGGCAAATAAGTACTCACGTTGAATAGAAATTTTATTTGTTTTAATAATGATGGAAAACAATTGTGATTGCACGACTTTTAACGACTACTGGTTTACATAAAAAATTACGTGAATCGTCAAGTGAGCCTTTAAAGAATTAAATAAGTATATATTAAATAAATCCTAGTACCTCTTTTTTTTTTTTAGGAAAATATAAAAGTATTGTTATAATACAAGAGCTATTCAATTTTCAGTCAAAAGATTGCATTCGTCAAATTATACAAAACAAAAAAAAAAAATAATAAATTAATTAATATAATTTTTCAATTATCGTTGGTTATAAAAACACTCGATAAATTATGCATATTTGTATAATTGATGTATTTATACTTTCCGGCCGGGGCATCAACAATACTATAAAAAAAGCATTGTTTAGCATTAATGCAGCATATTTTAATAATATCAGTCTAACAAAGGGTACAAAACAAAAATTAAAGAATTAGAAATTGATTATGTTGTATTTTTTATTTTGTAATTAAGAAAAGAACAATTTATTTTGAATTTATAATAATATTCCAGCAATAAGAATGTTATTAAAATATTAAAAATTTATTTTTATTCCAGTCCTTTTGAAGTTTTCTTTGTTTTTCTTTTTTTATTTAATCACTTAGTTATCGTAATGTATTATATGTGCTATCTACTTGTGTTATCTCATGTTGTTGTTAATGATAACAACAATAGTATTTGATAAGCTTTGGTATTTCAAGTTGACAATGCTGTGCACAAACGTTTATTCTTAAATTTTTTTTTTATTAATTTTGGTTAATTTAGCATTTTATAATACGTTTGCGTCGTCACAAACGGATTAGAAGTAAGAACTAGAACGAATTCGAAGTATAATAATTGAAAAGTCTGGAAATTGAAGTTTGAGAATATAAATGTAGTTTTGGATAAAGAAGCGAAAGGTTTTGGTTTCGCCATTATGGTGGATATATGTGTGCCAGAACAAGTTATCTTCTCTGAATATAAATATTGTTTTTATTATTTTTTATTTAATTTGCATGGTAGACGATAGATTGAAATGATCTATCAATCAATACTACGCTTAATAGGAATATTTTGATTTGTTTTTTCTATACTTGCGGAAAGTTCACGCTGAAGTTTTTACTTTCTCACTAAGTTCTATTCGCTAAAAAAATTCAATTAATTATATAATCGCCAATATTATTGAATTGCTTTGATCTAAATGTAAAATAGACATTTTATCCGACTAAAAAGCTTGGTTAGAGAAATTAATAGATTGTTCATTTTGTGAAGATTTGGTGAAAAATTCAGAAGAGAGACCACTTAACGAAATACTTTGATCGTCACATTTCATTCGTACCGAATAAACATTTTGACATTCAATTTAAATGCCGCAAGTGTCCACTATTTTTTTCAATAATTTTCAAACATTTGGGCTAAATTTTTAAAATTTAACTTTTTCATCTGTTCATGAAACTGAACTGCTAATTTTTTACTCTCATAATAATTATTATAATAACCACAATGAGATTGTACGTAATTGGAAAACTTATCGTGAACAATCTCGCATTGGATGTACAAAAATTGAATACCTTTCTACCTCAGGTGTTAATTTTCATAGAATATTGAAAATATTTCACAATAAAGTATTCATTCACGATGAAAGTATTCGCTCAAAATTGTGATAAAAAAAAAAAAAGGATAAAACAGGATAATCGTTTATTATTATATTTATCCGTGATTTAAGAACAAATTTTGTAATCATTAAAAGAGTAATTTTGAAAGGTAAAACAGAACAAAATTCACGGTCTTAGAATCGTGTAATATATATATATATATATATATATATATAAGGAAAATAAAATTTTAAATACTAATTTTATATTTATATAATATGTTTAGGAACAAAATACTCTTGGAAATTAAACATAAATGTAAGCATTTACAATATGTTTAAAATAGTATATTTAATACTAAATTATATATGTAATTGTAACAGATCGATCGAACAGCTCTTATAAATTTTAATAACAAGTAGTACTTCTTCGAATCAGCCGCATTTGCAATGGCTTTGATGGCGCAGAGATCAGACGTAATTTCATCGTAATTTCATTCGTATTTAGACATTGAATTTTAAAATTTTTTAATAGCTGAAAATTTCAAAACATAAATTCCATTATTTCAAATCGAATTATTAACTATACTTATAGGACAAATCGTTATTTACTATTATTAAATGTGAAATCTGACAATGGCACAATGACACATAAAGAAGCAATTTAACATTTTTCATTGCGTTCAATAAACTGGACGAAAAAAAAAAAAAAAAAAAACAAGTAAGAAAAAACAGAAAAAAGAAGAAAAAAAGTGTGGCAGTGGGTTTGGCAATGGGAAAAGTGCTCGAACTCTTAGCAAAAGCATTGACGTTCGAGTTGGCCACTGGTTACTTCAATTTAACGACAAAATTTGAAAGAAACTTTGAAAGAAAAATCTTCTATCTCTCGAACGATTATATTATTAACTTGTCGATCCGAAGATGAATTTCGTAAATTCAACTGGACAAAGCGTAAGAATAATTTCGCGGCAAGAAGGGAAAGGGCTTACTTTGTCTATTGTGATGGACATTTGCGTGACGGCAAGTTGTTTTCCAATGCAGCTCCTTACGCCCATGGCAAAAGGTAGCGTGGCATTTGGATTTATCACACCCTCGAATTCACCTTTCTCGTTACGTAACCAGCGCTCGGGTAGGAATTCCTGTGCCCTCGGGAAGTTGACCTCGTCTCGACCGCAAGAGTACAAAGAGATCACTACGAGCTCCTGAAACAAAAGTATATTACTTTTATGAGCAATATTGCGCAATAAGAAAAATCCTTACTCTCGCATGAGATTCCTTAGCATTAACTCGTGTCCGAAATAAGCCCCGCCAAGATTATTTCTTTAATCCTTCCATTTTACCCTCAATTGGCACATTGACCGCGCTAGGCGGCGCTATTTTGCTCCTGAATTTAGCATTAATTTTTCCGACTGCCAAAACTAATTGCGCGTGTGCGTTGAATAGAAGAACATTTCGCAATGTCAACAAGTTAAATCTTATAGGCCTCAAGTTTTTTGCCATAACGAATGGATTAAATAACAGAAAGTTCGGATCATCGTAAGATCAACGAGTCGTGCGATCCCCGCCATCCCCCCCCCCCCCCCCCCACTCACACACTCTCTCTCTCTCCCCCCCCCCCCCCCCCCCCCGCCCGCCCTCACTCACACACTCTCTCTCTCTCTCTCTCTCTCTCTCTCTCTCTCTCTCTCTCTTAAGCTCGATCAAACAAATCTCAACGCTTAATTCAATATTCCCGTGAGCGCTCATTGCTTTTACCGCTCTTTTAGCCAAGCAAGTACGATATTTATCTTTAGCTTGCATAAAAATAATTCGATACGGCACCAACGAAACTCGACAAGTGCGAATTATGTTATTAAAGAGGAAAGTTTAAACCCATCGGCCGCGTCATTCAATCTTAACGTGCCGCGTGTACGCGCGTAAAATTGTAATAAAATTGACAGAAGAAAGTCGTAGAAGGTCGATCGTAGAAGACAACAATGCTCCGTACACCCTTGTAAGCAGGATATCCACCGAGTAGCGTGTCCTGCGGTAAAACTCTCGTGAGAAACGGTGCGGTCGGATAAAGCCTCAGAGATTCCTTTATTGCTCCTTTGAGTAGCGAATCGCGTAGCACTTCCTTCTCCTCGAGCCCTCCCAGGGCATTGTGAATTTTTTCCTGGACCTCCGGGTTATTCGCCAGTAAGAACATCAGCCACTGCATCGAGTATGCTGTCTGAAAGTTAAAAAGTTAAGAGAGCAGCTCACGCAGGATGTTAATGATTGCTTTTGTAGCAGAGGTTTGGGTTGAAATTTGCACGCGAGGAAAGTCGATGATTTTCAGGCTTTCGGTGAGCTCGATCTATATTTCGCTAGATTGACATTGCCAATGACCTTGAAGCTTTGCGGATGCATTGTAAAAGTTCGTTAAATTTCATCGATGTATGAAACAATATCGTTATATAAAAAGTATAGACTATGTTATCGAAATGTTTTATTATCAATAATGTCATCGATTTAAATGAAAAGATAAGATTATGAAATTCCACTAATGACTTTTTTCGCGAAAGGTTGTCCATGACTGCGCAAACATTTCAACTCTATTATGTAATACCGATTTCAAATTGTATTAGGGGCCGTAACGTTCGTCATGCTTTTTTTTTGTTACAAATTGAAAGGTTAAAATTGAATGATATCGATAGTTTATTAATGTTTCAGTCTAAGAAAGAAGTTCATAAATAATATTAAATAATACTCATTGATTTCAATGTCAATTTGAACTTTAATACTAAAACTTATTCAACTTCTTCACTTCTGCCATATTCTTTTCGTTTATTTGTCTGTTTGTTTGTTTGTTTATTCTTTTTTTTCTCTGTATTAATCTAAATATTTTTTTGTTTGTTTTTGTTTTTAATAATAAAAATCTTTACTTTTTGGCATATCTGGCATAATATTAGAATTTGCTTTAAATAGTTTATAATTCAAATAATTTTTTAATTCCATAGAAATTGCATTGTAATGTAAATGTTATATTTGCTTTTTTTTTTTTTTTTTTTAACAGAAATATATTTTGAAGCAATTAATGTATAAATGATTGGTATTTGTCAAGAAACAAATTTTAAATAATCTTAAATGTGTATACAGCAGCGTTATAATGATCTATATATAATAAAACTATAATATTTGGTTGGATTAACCGTTTTATCTTAATTAATTAATTAAAGAAATAAATAAATAAACAAATTAAAGCAAATTATATTTAATATTTGATAGAGATTTTTTATAGGTAAATGTGAATAGAATGACAAGTGGTTGTTCGCGATTAATTGAATATGCTATATTGATTTCATTGAAAACTTATATTAATTAAGATTATCAATATTTTCTCAAGATAATTTAACAAAATAAAATAGTATTTTATTCTGATATCATGGAAGCATACATAAATTTTGTGTATTTTACATTCGAAATTAAAACATTAAGTTTTAATTTTAATAAGCTTTAAGCGAATTGGTGTAAAGTTTGAATATTATTTATTTTATCTTCACAATGCTCGGGTTATTAGTTTTTGTACTTTGTTTAAAATATTAGTTTCCTTCGTAACTTTAATAATAATAGTAATTGAAGACTAGTAGTGAATTTTAACCTGTATTGTTTACTTATTTATCATTAGTGCCTTTGATCCTCAAATAAATCTCATCTTTATTGTTTGAATCACAATCAAGCTTAAAAGTATTTATAGTCTTAAGGAAAAAAACGAAAAATTTCTTATTTACTTGCAGGTTGGAGTAGCCACTTAAAAATCTTTTATCATATTTTTCTTGAATATATTAAAAATTTCAATTCTATATATATATATATATATATATATATATATATATATATATATATATAATGAAAACTAAGATTTTATTACGATACTAAAAAGATTCAAAATAATAATATGAAAAATCAAAATCAAAATAAATAAAAACAATTTTTATTCTGCTAATCTTCTAATTGAAAGAGTAAAAATTAAGAAGTGATCATTTTGATCGAATTGTTTTCATTGATAAACTTATAGGCTTTTTTTTTAAAAAAATATTCCTTTCTCGAGAGATTTGTCATTTAGAAATGTATTTATATTTAAAGAAATAAAATCCATAATTTTAAAATGAAATAGTTTAATCCCTCGACTCGAGGAATAAAATATTTCGTGCTAATAGTGACTTGAGATTTTCAAATATTCACTTGACATTTTGACTTTGAGTATTTGACTATTATCTATAATTATATGTGTATAATTAGGAATTTGGACTATGCTCCGTATGATTATCCCATCAATTGCGATCCTTTTAATTTGCCAACTAAGCGCGAGGCCAATAAGTGGCAAAGCTCACCGTGTCGCCAGCGGCGAGAATGAGATCGACGACGATTCTTTGCAATACCGCGCCGCGAATCCCATTGGCCATCATTTGGTGCAGGAGCCCGTCCTCCGCATTCTCCAGTTTCGCCATATCCTCGACGAGGCGGCTGACGGCCGAGAGGGCGTAATCGGCCGTCGTGACGAAGCCGCACCAGGAGGGGAATCGCGCGAGCATCGCCAGTCGCGGGGATACCCGCGACAGGTGTACCGAGTGCTCAAAAATCCGGGTGAGAGTGCGTGAAAGGACCTGCAGCTCGTCCAGGACACTGTGCTTGTAGTCGTTCCAGAGGCTGCCGATCAATGTTGCCAGCAGCACTGAATCGTTGTTGCATTATCATTCATTAAATAAGGATATTCCTAATGGGAGATCGTCAAAACATTTTCTTAACTCACTTTAATTAACACCTTTTTGTTTTATCGAGTGTATTTTATCATTATATACATTAACGATTTATTTAATTTTCTTGTAATATTATAAAATTGAAAATCGAAAGACCTTTCCTATGCTGCGAGTAGTATTAGTGCTAGTAATGTGCGTTGATATTGTCACTGTATGATGATGACAATTACTTAATTTTCATAGTGTAATACCTATGTAGATTTATAGTTTTTATATAGACTCGTATAACATCATTATATAGTCATTTAGTTAATTAATATAATCAGTTAAATGAGAGAGGTCAATTGAAATAGAAGCAAGATAAAAAATTTTGACATAATTTTCATAATTTTAATATTGAAAAATTCATGTATTGCATGATACTTACAATAAAAATGTATTATATATATAATAATAAATTTTTTACTTTTATGAATAATCTAATTATACAGTGAGTGATTGATATTAAATGAACATTAATTTATATGTATCTGAGTGTATATTTGACATTAGAATTTGTGCGGAAAGACGTATGAATTCTTATAATGGAGAACCTTTTTTTCTTGATAATAATTTTAGCTTAGTGGTAGGTTAGTGACAGAAGAGATGTGCTCGGGATCCTTTATTCAGGCATACGGGGTGATGAAATCTCGCGCAAAAATATAAGAACGAGAAAAGGATGTTGGTATGTTTGAATTTTTATAATCAATTTTTTGCCTCTAAGGATTTTTCAATTGATAGTTTCCAATATTTGAATACCAATGGGAACAATATTTTCAGAGATAAGCTAAAAATGTCATCTGTCAAATAATATAATTTAAATAAATAACGGATATACGGCATTTGTACCTACACGTAACTAGAAATCATAATTATACACTGACTAGCATAATGTATAAAAAAAAAAAAAAAAGAAAGAAAAAAATAATAACAATAATAACCCAACCGAATAATCACATTTGCAAAGAGGATTTTTACTTTAAAATTCAATCCGAAAGATAATATTAACAGCTTCGATTGGCATAATTCTATCCGTGATTTATTAAAATCGAGACTTTATATGTATACAACAGCGTTAATCTTGTAAAAATGCTTCGGTATTATTGCATTACGATCGATGTAAATAAACGAATAGGACTTTGTTTATTTAAAATTTTATTTAAAATATAAAAAATTACTTGAATCCGATTGATTGAAACTGAACGACCGACAGTTCCATTTAACTTTTACTACTTATTTGATTTGTCGTATAATAATACTAACCGAGCGTATCTCATCATTTTCCATCCTTTCTCACGAAACAGATGATAGCGAAATTTCTCACTGGACATTTCCAAATACTCAATATGTCATGTATTTGTCAAGGTAGCATCTTGTAAAGTCAACTGTTCAGCCTTTCCACCAATTTAACTCAACCGTGTTTGTATCAATTCATTCCCACACAAATGTCTTGCAATTACATATTAAGTAAATGTTTATTATTTCAAATTGTCGGTTAAGCTGTGACGGTACTGCTGGTGTAAAATAAACTTTTACTTTATAAACGCTGGATGGAGTGGAAATTCAGCCATTTCGGAAATACCGGAAAAGTCACGACTTGACTTTCCATGTAATCCTCCATTCCATCGAGCCTAATCTCGATCCTAATAATATCTCTCCGTTAATCTACACTTTAATTAGTTCATTTCGCAATGACATCGTCACTATCTTAAATAACGCGCTGCATTCTTTAATTATATATAGTTAAGTAAGTATTGAAAATTAATGTAACTAATATTTACTATTGAAGATAATTGGAGTTGCATAATAAGTGATGTATCGTATTTTTATAAACTGTCTATAATAAATATATTAAAATACTTATAGCAAAGTTCATATTTCATGAATATATACTTCACTGGTGCATAGGCGAATATAAATATATTGTTAAATTAATGGAACATTGTATGGGTTAGGTTGTCATTTATTTATTTATTTTTTATTTACCTTCAATTGACCATAGATACAATTGATTCTCTAAGTCTGGTATAACTTGACCGCTGTTTCCAAAACTTTTCCAATTGCTAATTAGATCTTCAGCAGCGTTATGGCACGGTTTGATCATCAAATTCACCGAGTTTGGTGACAGCATTATTTTATTTAATATCCTTCGATAGTGCAACCATTCTTGGCCATCCCTATAAGAAAATAATACTTTCATAAGATATTATTTAAAATACACGCTCACTCACACCCTGCTCCAATTAATTATTAATTTTATTATCGATCACGTATTATTGGAGTATAACTTGTTATAGATGAAAATATAACTAAATATTAGATATCATTCGTAATGATTATCGCTGAACAGAAGAGTACAGAAGAAAATGTTAAATCGTTGATTATTAGTCCTCGGTAATTCTATTTAATAAGTACAAGGATATAAATTACGAAGGACCATACTACATACATCAGCCTTATTGTTTATATTATAAATAAAATACGTTTGAAGCTTGATTATCGCCTAACACAACGCGAGTGATGTTATAAGAGAAATAATATTAATAATAATAATAATGAAATAATAATGTATTTTTAAAGTTCTTCTAACCCTTGCTCGATTACACAGGGCTGCATGACATTGATGTCAAAGTGTCGACAATACGGTCTGTTATCAGCGATAATCATTTAGCAACACCCGATGTAAAATAGAGCCCAATTGACACGATGAGTGAATGCTTCCAGCAATGAGTCGAGTGACTGACTGCGCAAACACACCAAACGAGCCAAGTCATTAATAATTATTCCTTGGTTGTTGTTTTTTTTTTTTTTTTTTTTTTTTTTTTTTTTTTTATAAGGAATTTTACAATACGAATAAATAAAAGCTGTTTATAATCGTTGTGCTTTTAATGCTTTTAATTGGCTTAATAGGAAATAATAATACGGTTTTTCTGTTAAGGAGAGATCATTTACAATTATTAAGAAATATGCTATTTAAATATTATTACACGGTTATCTAGACAAATGTGCTTTCTTTTTCCTCATATTTATTCAATATTTTCAAAATTTTGTACCAATCATTATTCCTTCTTTTGTTTTAAATATCGTTTCAAATTTTTCAACAATGATGCGAATTTGTGAATGGCCAAGAAGTTATATAAAATTTAGTATTTTATGTTAAAAGTAATTTTATATAAAATCATTTACAGCTCAGAGTTGTACTTATTTCATTGAATATTAAAAATATATATAATATTTTTGTGATATTTAAATTTTTCCAAGGAAACATCTTTATTATTAACAATATCATTGTCGTTAACAAAATACGATTGACAATTTCTATTGCTTTTATGGCATCGTTTGTTTAAATGTATAATTGCCATTTCGATAAATAATTTTTCGACAATATAACGAAATGTTGCGATAAATATTTGGGTAATTTGAAATAAAATTCACTAGTAAATGCAACGACGAACGTTTTATCTGACTATATATCCATTAAAATTATATACGATTATATACCATTAGTATATTATGATTTTCGAAAATTTAGAAAATTATCAATTTGCCATCTATTTTTGCAACTATTTATTTTTTTTTTTTTTGTCCCGTAATGGTGAGAATCTCTTTTAACGTGTCTTTTTAATATTTGAATGATAATATTGTTACATCGTGCTAGTACGTTACATCGTACTAAGGAACTCTTAAATAATCGTAAATTATACATACAATGTTAGAAAGCACGTAATTGTTAATTTAATATTCTAATGAAAAGCTTATTTTTCAATGGGTGTTTAAAAAATTTTCCAATATCTTTATGCCAATGTCTCGCTAGAAATATACAAAGTACGAACAGAATTTAGAAGCACACGAAATAAGCACACATCAATTTTCATGAAATTAAGGATATATTATTTTATATTTATGATATTTTTTAAGAGGATCAGTGTAATTACGACGGCTATATTATTTATCCATGTAGACTTGAAGTCACGAAGCTACTCGCGTTAAAGGTACGCCAAGGATCGAAAATAATACGTTCGATAAGTTAACGTCACGGGGATATCCAAACAAATACATTCTCGAGAGAGGAAAAGTGATAGACTTATGATCAAAGTTTATACCGCGTGCGACCAACCTTGACTCTAATCGACGCACCTCCACTCCACTCCTCCGACTTCCCAACTGTCTCCCTTTTTTCTATACCCACGTTACTAATAAATCTACATCACAAAGAATCTACTAAGCCGATAGCCGTGAATGACTATCCGTCTGAGTACCGCTGATTATAACATTCGGCGAACTAAAAAATTCGCCACTCCTCAGCAGTGCTTATGTCCTCTGACGAGACCCACGCACACGACGATTCCACGCGCGACAAGCGACAAAGACACGTGCAAATCGCAAGGATTGCATTTTTCTTTTTTTCATTTCTTTTTTTTTTTTTTTTTTTTTTTTTTTTTTTTTTTTTGCATTGCTGCTTACAGAGTTTCTGTATTATTAAACTTCCGTCTAGACGGGTATGGGTGTCGGATGTCCGAGAGATAAGAATGACACTTTGGCTTACGTGCTACCAGCGAGCGTTACAATGAAATAAGTTTAAATTAAGTAATATCTTTCAGGCTTATTTGTTTGTTTCGCGAATGACAGAAATTTTTTCATACAACTCGTGCGATAATAGAACAATTGAGAATTTGGTATTTTTACATGTAATGATAGAAAAATTCAAATGAATGAAAGACTATGATCTCGCGCTTTACGAAAAAAATTTGTAGTTTTTATAAATAAGAAGCTTAACTGGAAACCCTATAAGGAACGTCGCTTCCGATTATAATGTTTATAATAATTGTACGATCCAATATTTATCGACAACTGCTTAATTAATGTTATAATGACGACTACTATAGTGGTTATCGTGTGTAATGGATAAAAATAACTTCAACCTATACTGAAATTCATTTCAAATGTCTTGGATAATTGGACTTTCAGTCATTTTTCAAACATTAAGGCAAAAGCTTGAAACATATCGTTTTGACACCTTTGAACAAATATAGACAAGTATACATCTATTGATTGAGTTAAACTTTGTAATGTATACCTATTATATATATATATATATATATATATATATGTATGCATATGTGTATCGTAACCATTTATCGAGCACTGAGAATCAACATTTTTATTACAAATTATTTATTATTCTCAATAAACTAGTAAATATTGTAATAATAGTAATGTAAATAGTGTCTTTAAGCTTTAATAGATTTACATTGTTATAATCATACGATGCTATGAATATCAAAGTGAAGTAAAAACTAATCAAAATTAGTAAAAAAAAATTAAATTAAATTAAATTAATTAAAAACATGTATAAAATTTGAATTTAATAAGAAGAGTTACTAATTGGTGTCAATCTTTTTTTTTTTTTTTTAGATCAAACTCAAACATTGTAACTTGTGAAAGTGGATAAAAGACGATATAAAAAAAAAAAAAAAAAAAAAAAAAAAAAAAAAAAAAAAAAAAAAAAATTCCATTTAAAAAAAAAAAAAAAAAAAAAAAAAAAAAAAAAAAGAAGAAAATTCGTCGAGAGGCAGGATGAAGGGAATGGCAAAATTATGCGGAGGGATTGTTATTGGTAATGATGTTTCGCGCGTAACGTAAAAGGAAAAAAGAAAGCCGAGATAGAAAATATCTTACATGAAGAGCAGACCTCTCTGTTGCTTTCGTATCCGATTGTAGAATAGCCAGGCTTCCGGTATAAAGTGTTGAGGAGTCGGACCCTCGAGTCGAAATATCTCACGTATGATTTCGGCCGAGCTGACGAATATGGCTTTGGTCGGGCCAATCTTGGAGCGGAAGATGGTCCCATATTTCTTGTGACGGGTATCGACGTACTCGTGGAGGTACTTGGTACGGTGAAGATTGAAGAAGGAGCTGAGGGTATTTAGAATGGGCGGGTTCCAGCAATCTGGCATGTCAACCATCGAACTCTGTCGACTGACTAAGTTCGCCAGCGACAAGTACAACTTTGAAATGCGATGCATAGAGCGGCCGATGCTTGTTGAGCCGACTTACCAGCAATACTGAAAAGATAATCGTGTTTTACTGCCTATTTATCTTTCTCTATCCTATGAAATATATATTGCATTATGTGTATCTGTAGAAGGAACATTTGGATCACTGGACTTCTCTAACGTAGCTGTCGCTCAACACTACATTTTTATTGTTCGAGCATGAAAATTGAATCCGCGCGTTAGGCTGTGAGTCCAATTATTAAAAATATTATTTTGTATTGTATTTATCGATAAGAGAAATGCAATCGCTGGTACAGTGTTGAACAACGAGTAGATGTGGAATGTCCATTATAAATAAATCAAAGTTTTGTACAAGGAGTCGATCGATTCATCTTAAGTAACAAACAAATTTCAATGTGAATGTCAATGAGAATATGGCCTATTTACTTTATGTAACAATTAATTATTATGTCATTTGTAAATTGAGCTGATCGTGCCACTTTCTTTTTTGTTTTTTTTTTTTTATTATTTCAGTACTATTACGTTTTTGACATTTTCAACAATGAAACATATTTTTAATATTCGCCTTAACCAACTCATCAAAATGATTAATTTTAATGTCCATTCATCAATTTAAAGGTATGATCATTAAATAAAATTCTCACGCTAAATGATAGAGAATCGAGGAGAGGGAGAGACGGGAACATTAATTATACTTTGAAAAGGTAAATTAAAATCGGTATACTTTAATAGAAATCGATGAGATTTAATAGTGAATTTCTCTTTCACCAAGCTAAATAGTCAAAAAAAAAAGAAGAAAAGATGTTGCTAATATTAAAGACTTTGCTGCCTAAAAGTTTCTTAATTATTTTAATTATTTGCCATTAATCGTATAAGAAGTATAATCTTATCATATATATATATATATATATATATATATATATAAATTGAAACACATACAAAAATTGTAAAAAGAGATCGATATAAAAATGTCCGATTTATCACAAAGGAGTAATTAATTTTCACTCGAATAAAAAATGTTTGCATAATATTTATTATTTCGATGGTGATAAAATTGAATTAGCATTCTTAAAGGCATAAAATAATCATATGATTTGTTCAAAGAAGTTCAACGAATGTCAACTTTGTTATAAAAATCTAATATATTTTAAAAAGTAAGACAATATAGTTATTAATTTTGATACTTTTTGTCGATTTATTCGAATAATTGTGGTGCAGATGATTCTTCCAACTACGTGAATATATTAATGTAAAAGTACCGATACTATAATTAAAAATACAATATTACTAAAATGTAATTTCATTCGTTTCTTTTCATAAATTCTGTTAAATATAAATTGCGCTTTCAATTCAAAATTTTACCGAGTAAATTAAAAATTCCAAATATATTGAATATAAAAGTACCTTTTCAATGCCACAAATTAATGAAAGTGCGGAAGACTTTGTATTGTATTTACCATTATTAATGTAGTTGTAGTGGTACTTACCAAATAGCATTATTAATGCATACCTCGTTTGATAAGCAAGTTATTTTAATATTTTTCCAGAAAGAGATTATCGATACAAGATCGATTTAAGATTAACTATAATAGAAAAATAATTAAATTTTTTTTCTACATCTAAAAAGGTTTTGTTTTATTGGTTTTAAGTTAGCTTATTAAATTAACGTTTTTTTGTTTACATTTCTTCGGCTTCCAATTCAAATTCAACCTAGATCCATTCGATATACTTACAATATATTATTTATAAGTTTATTAATAGAACATTGTTATTTAAGCTTTATTAAAAAAAAAAATATATATATATTTATTTTATATATCCATGGTAATATTCAATTGAAACTAAAAAAAAGTATAAATAATTATTCTTGAATGTCGAACTCTTCCGAATGAATTAGTATCTATAAATATATTATAGAATAGAGAAGAGAATTTGTGGAAATAGTTGTTTTTTTATTTCAAATGCAAATTACGAACCGACAGTTAATCTCTATATATATATATATATATATATATATATTACTCTATTTGCTTTTCCAAAGTGCTCGATATTTTCAATATAAATAAAAATTCTTACCGACAGTCATTATAAACAAATGATTTTTTTTTTTTTTTTTTTAACAATAATATTGGTAAAATATCAAAGAACGTAACAATATATTAAATCTTTAATTATTCGATATACTTTGTCGACTATCTCCTATAATTTTCTCTATTATTAATGTGACAATATTTGATTAAACCATGTTCAATATACAGCAATGTTTTCACTATTTTTATAAATATGTACATATGGAAGGAGAGAAAGTGGTACAATTATGGATTCTTGGCAATATTAGTGCTTATTTAAATTTTATAAAATGATACTTTTAAACAAATATTATTTTATTAAAAGGCACTAGTTATTAAATATATAACAAAATTTATCTTTTTTTTCAAGCAAAAATAATATCTTTATCAAGTTTAACCAAATAAATTTTATGTCCCTTCTTAGTACTATTAAATAGCCAATCAACTTGTGAAAATATTATTATACAATATATTATTATTAATATACGATTAATATAATTTCATAGAATATCAAATAGCATATTAAATACGTATTTATACATCTAAGTATGTAATTTAAGTATCTAATGCTGCATAAAACGGATTTATTAGTGAAATTTTATTTTATTTTTCAGACACGGAAATTTATCTATTAATTTTTATAATTAATGAGAAAATTACAAATTCATTTAAAATCGCACACAAATAAACTATTGGCACAATATAAATATGTAAATAATATAAGTGCAATAAGAGTAAGTAAAAATTATTTGCTTTTCACTAATCATCTATTGTTTATAGCGCATTGTTCATCCTAATTTTATTCTAATATATTTCACCGAAATATATTGAATCGAATAGACATTTAATATTTTGTAAATATTAAGCTATGAGAAGCGAAATAATATGAATAGTTAACTAAACCAAAGAATAAGCAAACATTATTAGATAATTTCAGATTGTGAGTGAGAAATTATTTATGGCTGTGAAAAGTGGATTATTCTTTGTTAAGACATTTTTTTTTGCTTTTTGCATGATAATCATTTGTGTAAAATTCTCATATTCCTTATCTACTTTTCGAAAATAAAATAATAATTATTAACTCGTTTAATATTCAATAGGCACATTAAATTGTGCCAAAGGATTAAAACTAAAATTTTATCATTAATCAGAAATATTTCTATATAATTTATAACTGATAATAAACTTTTTGTGAATCTAAAGTTATTTCTAATGCTTTTTTATATTGTCTTAGATGGTTATCTCTCGATAATTCTATTATCATTTAATAGCATTAGAATGTATTATTATAGAATAAAATATTATAATAAACATTTGTTTCAAAAATAAGAAAATGTTAGATAGAGGATTTTTTGAATTTTTAAGCTATTCGGTTTTTCTATTTTTTCAATTGGCTCGATTGATATAATTAAAATTTTTTGAGAGATTAAATTTTTTCATATGCCCTTTGCACAATGATAATAACTTTTATATATGAAAACTATTTGATTTTGATCATTTAAATTACATATTTTTTGTATACATATATATATATATATATATATATATATATATATATAATTACTTTATTACGAGTATTTTTCATTATGGAAAAATAATGAAGATATAATGAATGAAAAAATGAAATATAATAAAATATTTTTAAAACCGCTTGATTATAAAAGCAGGACCTTGGATAAGATTTGTCGACGAATATTTTGCCAACTAAGCTACTGTGCGAATTTTCAATCAAATCTTATTCATATTATTATAATCATAGTACAAAATAGGATATTTGTAAATCACATGCGCAAGGTTAGTCAATTTTAGCACACTTAACAAGTGAAAGTCGATTATGAATAAAATCACACGTCGATATGTCTATTGCGTCAGTTATTTATTTTACATAGATTTGACTTTTCTTATACTAAAATTAATATTATAATATTATTTTAAGGTTTTAGGAAATTTCATTTCATGTACATAATTTGTATATTAAATTTCAATTTACAATTTCTTTTATTCTTTATGTTAATTTATGTTAATTGAAGGTAAATTTATATATAAATTGCCGACGTGATTTTTAACTGTCTAATATATATACTTTTTTTTTCTTTTTTTTTTAAGTCGGTATAATATTTTGATTTTTTCGAAAATACGAAATTTTGAAAATATCTTTCAATACGAGGTTAAAAGAATAACATTTAACGCGTATTAGATAAAACTGCTGTTTAAAAGTTACTATTCGGCATAACTTACTTCCAAATTAAAGCATTTAATTTATTCAACATTTTAATAAGAATAATTATTATTTACTATACACTTTTAGTCGTACTATATTTTCAATCTTAATTCGTTAAAATTCACTATCGCTTTTCGTCATAAAAATACCTATTGATTTATTTAAATGTATTCAGCTGTTTTTTTTTTAATTATTCAATTGTTTTACTTGGTTTTTTAATAGAACAGTTAAAAAGCAAATCTAGCATATAGGAATTACGAATTCTAGTAATACTAGTAGTACTACTTCGCCTACGAATCATTGCTTTAGGAATTACGAAAAAACGAATTTTCTTTTAGTGAAATGTATTGGAAGTAGTTTATTTATATATTTCGTTTAATTGTAGAAACTAAAATTACTATTTCAAGGCACGCGTTTAATAATTCCATATTTCTAAGTTATTCAAATATTGATTTTTAACTGTGAATGTAATATACTTTCTTCCAAATACGCATTATTGCCATGCAAATGCTACTTTAAATATGAGAGAATTAGTTATTAATTTGTATTTAACATTATGGTATTAATTAGTGGACATATTTCATGCTAATGTATATACAAAGTTATAGAAAACAGAAATTATTTTAAATAGTCGAATTCGGCTGTTATTACGAATGCTTTTTTTTTACCGTTTACTTTGTTCTGTATGTGAAGGAGATAGCACAATTGTTCAATTTGCGATTACTATTCGGAATAAATTGAAGAAAAGTAGGTAACGAGAGTACAGTAGTGAAAGTAGAAGCATATACGCTGTCTACATTTTCTTTCTAGTCTCATTTCGAAAAATAGTTCATAATTATTATGCATGAGAATGTGTAAAAATTCAAGATGATGGTTCTAATATCTTTAATGCAGGCCGATATTCGTTAAGATGGAGTAAGGTGGGAGATGACTTTGAACACTATAGGACTTTCAAGAGTGAAACAAAATTCACATCATTGTAAATGACATTGTAAATCGAATCAGTGTATTGCGCGATAAGAGCATCGTGAGGATAATCAATGTTGGCATCGAAAAAACCGAGTCGGACAAATGACAGACTCCAAGGCGAGTTCATCCGTACCAGATGCATTTACCATAAATCATTCGAGCAGACAACCCATCACTATATGACTCTCTTAGATAATATTTTACCCCCTCCATCCCTCATGCTCATACTCCTCAAAAGGTAAGAGTAGCGATTTTAAACATACATGGTGTCTTGGTTTTTTACTTAAAAATTAAATTTCAGTTTCAATTAAATTCATGTAATCAAATATAATTATATATTTATGCATTCGTTTAATTTTTTTTTCATCCAAATATCATTAAAACGTGCTTTAAATATTTTATTAATAATTATTATAAATATGTATTTTCATGGATTTAAATACTGGGATACATATTTTATATGTAATAATTGCTATGTGTTTTTAGATTATAAGTAACGAAAATAAAAGTTTTATAATTGAAAATATTTGAATTCTCACATGCACAATGTTTACATAATTAATAAATTAATTTTTTTAAAGCGGTTACTTAAGTTTACTGCTAAGGTTCAATATAGCTTATACGAAAAATTAGCTTTACCTAGAGAGAATAATATATTTTATAGATTTAATTTAATCATGAATTAATCAAAATTAAACATTAACAAAATGTTTCTGTGAAACTATTTAAAACTTTTTTCCATTTTATTTTAACAAAAAGTTTTTGTATTAAGAGAAACATGTAGCTTTCAATTAATTATATATCCTTTCTTCGTTAATTTTACATTCGAATAATAAGTAATAATAAATATTTATTTATTAAAAATGACGTTTTATAAATGTTTAAAAACTGCTTAATGATCGTAAAAGTTGAATGTAGATATTTGTGTAAAATTTAAAAATAACGATTATTTAATACCCGATTGATAATTAAATTTAATATTTCAAGTATTATTCTATCTCATTTAATTATCTCATTTAATTTAATATATTTTTAAGTATAACATCAATTAAATAATCTCATTTTAAGTGATATGCGTATATTAATACATATCGTTGCTTTCATAATCGGCAATATATATTTTTCATACGAAATTTTTGTGAAAGTTATTCTTATGTAGTCATGCAAAACTCTTTTAATTCGAGTTTTTTACAATATATTAGTTTAATTCTTAACGCCGTTTTATTTCATGTTTCCATCGATTTGGAAAAATTGGTCAAATTGACGATATTGTTCATTCGGATTAGGATAATCTTGCCAGAACCATCCAATAACTCTTTTCAAGAGCCAGCACTGGAGTCTATCAATATAGACTATAGAAATGAAATTTCTATATCCTCCTAAACTAGTGTTGTTAAAATTTCTATAAATGTTAAATCGTTACACGATACTCAAATACTGATGTATATGCAGAGTGAGACACATTGTTGAAACATAACAATTTGATTGACAAGTGCTATCATAATTTACTAGCAATTATACATCATCGTAATATTAAAGAATAAAATAAAAGTCCATATAAAATTACAAAAAAAATTGTAAATATAATGTACATTAATAGTATAGATATGTAGAAAATTATTCGGAATTTCTATTTTCTATTCCAAAAATTTATTTGAGTTATTTTCTCATATGTCACACAGAGTACTTTTGGATAAGGTTCCAACGGTGCATTTTAATGAATTAATCAATCAATATTTTTAAAATCTTGTAAAGCTACTTTATTTTATAAAACTTTATTTAGTAATATTTATTTTTAAAAGTGAAAAATTTACTTACTCGGTAGAAATTTTCATTAATTACTTTAAGAACTGATTTTTCATTTTTAAATAATAATTTATAAAATCTCTTTTAAATTTTAAATATTTTTTTAATATTTGTTTATGGTGATATTGTAAATTATGATTGCACGTGAAAACTGGATATTATCGAAGAATTAAGTATATAAAAATTTATTGAATATATTAGTTAAAGTTAATATATATATATATATATATATATATATATATATATATATATATATAATGTAGTAATAATTTAGCGTTGCAGTGAAAATTTCAATGAACAAAATTGGATAAAAATTTCTCAATACTTGCTATAGTAAAAACAGAGGCTTCACACTGTCACATACATAGTAATTATTTATTTTTTTACTAATATAAATAATGAAAAATTTCTTAGAAGAAACTGTATCGTGTAATATATCGTTAAAATAAAAATTATGAATAATAACAAGTTGGTGTTTAACACAGCTTGTAATAAGTTTAAATCCTTTTATACTCATATTAATTAGTAAATATTTTACTTAATTTATTGAAATTATAATATTTATATTTAGTTATATATTATCAATAAAGCATTATTTTACAAAATTTAAGATTATCTTTTAATTGGAAAAAGAGAAACACTTGCTGAGAACATTAAATATAATCTTAAATCAATACTGATAAGTGAGAACCGAATTAGTTATATAACAAAGCATGTATATATATATATATATATATTGAATAATATTGTATAATAACAAATACTGAATTTATAACCATAAATAATGTATGTACGATATATTTGTTGGGTACATTTATCGAACGAATACTTTTTTAATTGTAAATTGAATGATATTATATTTACAATTTAGTAACATAACTAATATTAAAATAAAAAGATAATAATTTCTATCTCCAATGCCTATTTGGTTCTATTTATAAAATATAATAAATTTATATTCATTTTCATATATTTAATAACTATTTCAAATGTAAATATCTTTGTATTAAATTGAATGTAAAACTAGCGTGGGGACATTTGCATTTAAAAGATAAATGAAAAAGCCTTTAAAATATTTTAAACGAACATGTATATTATAAAGAAAGAATTTTTTATTATACAAAATAATAAAATGTATTATATTAGATAATGAAAGTAACTATAATTTATTCCGAATACTGCGATATTTATAAACCGAATTGGTTTTTCATATTTAATCCATGTGATTTTGTTTCAGTGTGGATTATCGGTTGATTAAACAGTTTTTATATAAATAAAGCAACTTAATATTGTTATTTAAATAAAGCATACAAATTTATAGATAAATAGGAAATAAATTGATACTTGGATATTTGGATGCGAGAATTTTTAACATAAAAAAAAAATGAAATATCTAAAAGCATAAAAAGTCATTAAGTGCTCTACTTTATGCGTCACCTAATAAGTACATAATAACTACATAAGTTACTGCAATAATACGTTTAATGTACTTTGATTTGGTAAGCCCAAGATATTCTAATAAAATTACTCGCTCGATTAAAGTTTATGATTTTTAGTATTAACAATAGGATAGCAAACGAAAGAAATCTGCACGTCATTTACATCTGTATACATACACATAAATATATATATATATATATATATATATCTATATATATATAGATAGATAGATAGATAGATAGATAGATAGATAGATAAATATGTAATAAATTTGTAAAACAATAAATTGATAAAAGTGAGGCCAAATTATGTGGACTTAGGTGTGAGAGGTTTAGTGGGGCTTGACAGGAGCCTCGCGAGCCGCAATAATAATTTTCGCACAATTCTCGAGGAAGATATGAAGTCACGTGGGAAGAGAAGCGCGCGCTTCTTCGAACCGAAGAAAAGTATAGGTACGCAAGTGGACTCGGTCTGCCTTCGGTGAGTTCTCGAAACCTTCAATGCTATAATTTCACTTAATCGTGGGATTTTCAATAACAGCAAGAAAAAACATAAGCGGCAAACGAGTTTTTTTGTTATTTTGCGAGCACAAGAGGCGAATGAAAAAGACTGACCGCTGCATTATCGTTGATAGAAACGGCGGTAATTGCAGGGCGAACGCCGTAGAAATTGTTTCTCTGACTTATGGCGATGCTTGGTAAGGCATGGGAAATGCCAGACGAGGCATTAAATGAAAACTGTAGATGGTAAATGTTGGATGTTCTTAATTATGATAAACTGCCTCATTGTAAATGGAATAATTATTATTGAATTTTACAAAATACCACATTCGCATGATTTCTCTCGCACACACGCACACACACACACACACACACACACACACTCTCTCTCTCTTTCTCTCTTTCTCTCTCCCTCCATCCCTCTCTCGTATAGTCACACACACGCGCGCGCGCGCGCAAGCACACACACACACACACACACCCACACTCTCTCTCTCCCTCTCTCTCACTCTCACTCTCACTCTCACTCTCACTCTCACTATCCCCAAGCCTTTCTCGCCCCTCTGTCTTATTCGCTGATTCGCTCATTCGCATAGCTCGCGTCTCTCGTCAGGAATTTTCTCAGGATAGAAAGTTTGCAACCTTGTGACGATAGTTTGCAAGCAATTGATCGAAATTACCTTATTCGCTAAGTCCCATAATGCAGGCGCAAAGTCATCGAAGCGATAGAGAAGGAAAGTAAAACGGTAGAGAAAAGTCAGGAGGAAGAGCGAAGAGTGTCCAGGCCGCACATTTCCTTACTTAATCACTGGCTGGCGGAGTCGAGGAACAACCGGTGCGGAGTCTTCAAGGCAGGTAGACGGCGCGGTGCTGCCCCCGATGAGGATTCGCGTGGAAACGGCGAACGAAGAATAATAATAACGAAGGAAAAGCCGCTCGCTTCTCTGGCTCATCCGACGGCAATGCCATCGACTTTATTCTCGCCCCGATTTTTGAAATAACGCCGCGCCAAACTGCGCCAAGGAGTCCAGCTCTCGAGAGAGAGAGAGAGAGAGAGAGAGAGAGCGAGAGAGAGAGTGTGTGAGAAGGGGGGGGGGGGGGGGGGGAGAAGGAACCCGAGAGTCCGCAACCACGGGTCTTTCTCCCACGCGCCGCTAAGAGACACTGTGCACGTTATATACATAGCGACAAACGTATGTATAAGACAGGGAGGGGAGTGAGATACGGGATGGAGATGGAGATGGAGTGCGAGTGCGAGTGAGTGAATGAGAGTGAGAGAGTGGCAGTGCGTGCGTGCGTGCGTGCGTGCGTGCGTGCGTGCGTGCGTGCGTGCGTGCGTGCGTGCGTGCGTGCGTGCGTGCGTGCGTGCGTGCGTGCGTGCGTGCGTGCGTGCGTGCGTGCGTGCGTGCGAAGGATGGGCGGTGAGAGGAGGTTCCCTTTCTATCGAGGAGTCGTTGCGTATAAGAGGTTCGGCCACTAGTACGTGGAGCTCGCGAGCTGAGGCCAACGTCGCGCTCACGGTCAGGGTCGTCCTCGGTGAACCGCGTGTTGCTTCGTCGCGAGGTTCTTGCCTTCCGGACCGATGTCCTCTCGGGCGCGCGTGCACGGTTCACCACTTCTAGTCTGCCTACGACTCGAGCGCGCGCGCACGCACACGTACAATCTCTCTCTCTCTCTCTCTCTCTCCCACCCTCTTTTCTCTCTCTCTCTCTCCCTCTTCTCTCTCTCTCTCTCTCTCTCCCTCCCTCTTTACTCTCTCTCTCTCACACACACTCTCTCTCTCTCTCTCTCTCACACGCGCACACACGGACACGCAGCAGGCGCACGCAATCCCCTCTTCCTCCCTCGTTCTCACTCGCTCTCTTTATTTAACGCTCTTTACTGCGCACTTTCCTCCTCGCTGCAATGACTAGGCCGAGGTTTCCTTCCTCTTTTTTTCTCTCTATCTCATTCCTAGGACAATCATTTAAAAGACCTTAACACATCGACGCTTTTCCCCACTATAAACGAGGAACGTCATTTCAAGGTGGCTTACTCGATCATCTTGTCGATGCATTATTTCACCGTGTTTTGCTATTTCATATTTCATATATTCAAGGAAGGATGTTGGTACTGCATTAAGAAGCCACAATTTCCAAGTCATACGTCGATTTTTGACAAACATTTACAAAATATATCGCGGACTCTGTAAAGCAATTGATATCGCGTGATAAAAGATTGCATGAAATTCCGATTTTTATTTTCAATTAACTTTCGAGCGCAATCACAATGACAAGGCACAATAGTCTACATAAATAGTCCGATATAATAATGAAAAGGGAAATATAATTTTATAATATTAATTTCAACGCTAATAAAGGAATCAGGGATTTAACGAGTAGATAAAATGCATAGTTTATATAGCCTCGACATTTTTGTAATATTTTCGTTAATACAATCGTGAAATATAAATTTAACAACTCATTAATAACGAAGCTTTCCTGTGTCAACGAAAGTTCGTTAATTACTATAGAAATATCAGAAATGTCTAACGAATATTATTGAAATTATTACAAAGTAATAATATAAATAAAAAAGTCCAAATTAAATATGTGCAATTATGACAACACATTTAGACAAAGTTGTTACTCAATTAAATTTTTAATTATTGTGAGGAATTATTACTCATTCCTTCCATATTCTTTTGGAAACATATTATGGGAAAATTTAGAAAATAAATAAATTTCAAGATTTTTAACCGATAGTCTAAAATATTTATAACTATTTCAATATTGAAACATTTACCTTCTCATAAAACATATATTTAATATTTTCAGCAAAACTTACAAGACAATGTCAATTAAAGAAAAATACGAGATAACTTGGAGTTATTTTAAATTCTTTAACTTTATATTACAAGAGAAATATAGATATTTTTTTCATATTTATAATTTATAATCTCCAGCGCGTTAATTGTAATTAATTACTTAAAATAAAATTAATCTACCTGTAAACTATAACAAACAACTTTTAGAAAATTATATAATAATTTACAATGTGTATATGTAAAATTAATTTATAATAAAAATATGCTTTTCATTATAGTTTTGGTCTCGTTAAGCCTTCATTGAAAACTATCCATGTAATATGTAATTTCACTCAAATTATTTTTAAAAGTAGAATAATAAATATGAAATAATCTTTGGATTTAGTCGTTCCTCAAAAACTAATAAGAAAATGAATTCAATAATAATAATAAAAAAAAAATTCGTTTTAACGTTAGAAATTAGTTTTAACGAATGAATTAATTAACTTTAATTGTAATTTTACTTTATGACCATATGAATTACCACATTATTATAATAATGATTAAATTAAATACCACATTATCACGTAATAACCATATTAATATAATATTTATTTATATATAACATACATGTAAATATTAATAAATATGCTATCCCATATGCATATTAAGTGCATAATAAAAAACGTCGCATTAAATATCAACATTTCTACAGTTTATTATTATTATTATTGTTACTATTATTCTATATATATATATATATATATATATATATATGTATATATGTATATGTATATGTATATGTATGTATGTACGTATGCATATTGGTACAATTAGGATGAATTCTACTTGATTATGTCACGTTTAAGTTACAATTTATCCTTTAAATTATCTTATATTTAATATCGAACAATTTACTAAAGTGCGTATAAGTCAGTGGAGAGGCTTTTTACAATTTAAAAATTTCTCTATGCGTTGGATCCTCGAGACATTGAATTCAATTGATAATGCATTAAATTATGAAATGATAGAAAAAAACTATGTAATTTAAAATTTTCATTTTTCTTAAAAATAAATAATAGAAGTATCCATATTTATATATTGGGCAAAAAGGAATTGTATTTATGTAAAAAAAAAGTTTACAAAAATTACAACAATGTTAAAATACAGTTAGAATCGTTTTAATTTTGTGAATATTTTTCCTACTTTTAAAATATGTTTATGATGCTGCTTCGTATTTTTAAGATAAACGAAAAAGATACATATATTATACGCTCTAAAATGACACAATATTATATTGACGAATCACGTAAAAAGAAAATTGACCTTTCCACTAAAATTCTTTTATCCTGTTATTCTTTTATTCTCACTTGTTAACTTATATTGATATATTTTATACAATATACTAATACTAATACTAAGCGATTAATAAATTATTTTAGAACTACAGAAAAAATATTTATTAATTCTTTAATGTATTATATATATATATATAAATATATTATTATTATTATTGCATATAAATTAAATAATTTTTTTTTATGTGCATCTTTTATTTGGAAATATTTGATATTATAGTTTTTAAGCATTGATGTAACAGTTGATTTTTATAAATTCTAATGTCAAAGAATATTAGAATTTAGAATTACAAGGTTTTATAATTAATTATATATTTATTAAAAATTATATCTTTAAAATTATACTATCATTATACTAATTATATATAATTCGATATTAATAAACATTCAAATAAATTAATCAAATTATAATAAGACAGATTTTCAGACAGATGTACAGATGTGTTTTTAGATATATTTTATTCTAATGAAAATTCGTAGAACTCAAATTAGAAGAATTTTTACATGTTTCATAATATTATACATGAATATGAATTAGACTTTTTACTAATTGTAATGACATTATTTATTAATAAAATGCTTAAATTTTTAATAATAATGAGAATAATACAAAATTACAATCATTTATAAATTATAATATTTTATTATTTGAAATATATTGATTGCCATTTGTGTATTCAAAACAATAATCAAACCCCACAAATGTAATATTCATTCACGAGATTAACAAGATACGAAAAACCAATTTTAATAACATGAATAATATCATTTTAATCACAATATACGTCTTACGTTGCAAAATTTTATCATCTAACGCAATCGATCATTTGCATTAGTCACCTTTTAAATTCTATAATTTTCAGATAACATAATTTTTTGTCATTGAATTAATCTACAATTTTTGTTGTTGTTGTTGTTGTTGTTGTTGTTGAAATCGTCATATATTACATTTATTGGAAATAAATATATTATTTTATAATATAGTATAAAGAACTTCTTCTGTTTCACTGTAAACTAAAAAATGGTAATTTACTATCTAATATTTCCCATACAATGGTATGTATATTAATGATGGATATTATTATGGTTTGTTACACTGTTAAATATAAAAAAGGTTGGCATCAGATATGAATCTTACTAATGGTGCTCAATGCTCATGTATAATTTTGTTCATTTATTATTTTATCTATATTTAATAAATAAATCAATTATTATTAATTTTATTTCATAAATAACTTATAACAAGTAAGGCAATCAATGATTTATCATAGTTTAATTTTTTTATGATTTAATTGTCTTTACTATATTGGCTTAATCAAGGAAACAATCAAGTGTTATCTTAAGATTAAATAAAAAAATTCTTTTTCAAACTACACAAGTTACGTTGCATTCAAATTTATAAGTCCTAATAAAGAATATTTGACTTCAGCTACAATTATTCAAAAATAGTATAATGATTTAATTTTTAAATTTTATTGAATTTAAAATATTTCGTAATATGAAAACAAAAATGTAATGGCATCATACATTTTTTTTTAGTAATTAGCGTAAATTAAAAAATTTGTGGATATTATAAAGTTTGCCTTTAAAAGTACTTAAGTTATTAGAATTATATTATTTCTATGTATATACATATAATTTATTGTAATATTATTTTTATCTGTTTATTTCATAAGTAATTTAAATGAAATTTCAATGAAGCAATAATACTTATATGTTTTTCAATTTTTTTT